TCCAAGTCCATGAACGCACAAAAAACTTTCTGGTTTTTGGCCAAAAACTTCTCCGCAATCATGCGCATGGAAAATACTTGATGTGTACACCCCATTCTCTTTCTAAAACCCGCTTGCACATCCCAATTTTTTCCATCAGTTTCTTTCCTAACTCTTTCAATTAACACCTTAGCAAACAGTTTACCCACAATACTAAGCAATCTGATACCACGGTAGTTTTTGCAGTCCTGCTGTGACCCTTTTCCTTTATATATTGGTACTATAACTGCTTTACACCAGTCATCCGGTACCCGTTTTAATTCCCAACATAAATTAAACAAGGTGTACAGCAGGCCTGCCACCACTCCCTCTCCAGCCCTTAGCATCTCGAGTGATACTCTATCATATCCAGCTGCCTTACCTGCTTTCATGCTTTTCATTGCTTTCATTATTTCATATACACTTATCTCCATACCCCTTTCCACTTCCTTCGAAATTTCTAGTTCATTTAATTCAGACGACTCACTCACTCATAAACACGCTTTCAAAGTATTCCTTCCATCTGTTTAAATTCGAAACTTCATCATTCAGAATACATCCATTCTTGTCTCTTATAGCATTAATTATAGGCTTTTTTGTATTATAATTTAATATTATAGTAATATAAGCTGAGCTATTTTAACGAGCAATACAAATTACCAAAAATAATGAAACCGATGAAAAAATGGAAGATAGATAAACCGCTATCTTTCGAAACCACAAGAACTTTTACTTAGTCCCTGTTTTCGGCATGCATGTTAATAAGATGGTGTTATACATTATCTAATGCAAAATACAAATAAGTGCGGATTCGTGAAACATCAAAATATCCAAAATTTAAACAAATGTCTTTGTAAACCCAAAATATATGATAATGACATTTATTCATATTTTGTTGCTGGAATCATCTGCTGCATCGCTGCGTGGTATGAAAACTGTAGAATCTTTATAAAAAATGTAATACCAAAAACTCTTATAATCTTAAAAAAATACCTTTTTTTGATGTGTGTAGTGCTAGGGCTCCACCATTTTTTTAAATTTTAATTAGGACAAAAAACAGTTACGTAATATTAAAAAAAATAATTTATTATAAACAAAACTGAATCATTGTGTAAACAGCGACATAATATACAATGGAGGTTTAAAAATAATTTAAAAAAACAGTCCATACAAACGGACATATAATATTGTTATTAATTACGCTTGCTGTTAATTTTGAAAATACTGCTAATATAGAACTTACTTTTTTACTTAGCATATATTATTGATTAATATATAATTTGTTGATGATAAGGTTAGATTAGATTTTTACGTGGTAGAGCCATGCTGAAGCTATATTGTGTTTTAAAACGAATGGTTTGGCTCGACCGGGGAAGAACCACGATCTTACAAAGTACCAGCGTAAAATAGCAACTAACCGCTATGTTTCTTATGGTGAGTGTAGATAACGGAGACCCATTTTATTGAAAACGAGGCATTACGTCTTTGTCCTCAAGTATGAAAATGCATCAGCTCTGTATTCTTAATCAAAGACAGATGTAGAAGGCCATGGGCCACAGCATCCACTTAACTGAAGGTACAGAGTATCCGTTTGTAACACTTATTCTGTAAAGAAAAGGATTGTCTGGTCTTTTGTTTCAACATTTATGTTCACTTTTAAATTTTTAACAATTTTATTTTATCAAGTTTTGACTTTATTGAGTGTTTATTTCATAATTGTATTTCACTTGAGATTAATAATTATTATTTAATGTTGTGTCCTCTAAATCTACGACGTTTATTAACAGGTCAAAATCGGTTCAAAAGCACAAGTGAGAAAATTGGAATAACAAATAATAATAACATGGGTAAATTGCACTAGGTGTAAAAAAATTTGGTAAAGTAATGATCAGGTGCCACTTTTTGAACCGGCAATAACTAATATAACTGTAAAACAAGATTAAAAATGTACGGCGTACTCGTATAAGTGTAAAGGTTGTTTGATTTCTGACATCCTGTTCACAACGCGCCCAAAAGAAATTATATGCAAAAATAACTGCAGTTTATTTCGATTCTTTGGCAACTTGCAACTTTGCACATATTGGTAAAAATTTAAAAACCTGTAGGTATACATATATATATTTTTTTTGATTGATAGCAAATGATTACGGTAGTTTGACGGCTCCGTGGTGCAGTGGCTCAGTAATGAGTTACAACTTTTCCGTAAGGGAATCGAACCCGCGGCGGGTTCGATTCCCGCACGGGAAAAGTATTTGTATGGTCTACAATTAATTGTTCCGGGTCTGGATGTTTGTCCTTGTGTAATTTATGTATGTTTGTAAACTTCCCCCCACGATACAGGAGAAAATCCTCGTGTGGAGGTAATGTTTTAAAAAAATTACATATTTATAATATTTTCTTTCATTTTTCAACCGACTTCTTTATGTCTATTTTTATTTAAAACCTGGTACTTCTTAGGTGGTCTTATATAAATTTGATGAAGATCTGACCAGTATTTTTTATAGCATAGGGTGACAAACGAGCCCACAGTCCATCTGATGATAAGTGGTTGCTGCGGCCCATAGACATCTACATCTATCCTCAATTACAAAACAAAATGGAGATGCGTTGTCACCCGTGAGGACTAATATAAAATGCCTCGTGTCTAGTAAAAATGGTATCCGGTTCTTATCTAATTAAAAATTTTACCACTTATTAGTTGTCTGCTTTCATGAATAAGGGAGCCAGTATAATTACAGAATATGAAAATTTCTTATTAAATTGTAAAGTACGGCGAGAGCTCCTATGCTACCGAGATTCTGAGCTATCCATCTGTATATTCATAGGAAATTAAATGGTGTTATTGCTACTTTTTTGTAAGCGCGATATTTAAAGTAATCATCAAAATTAAAGGGATAAAGCCACACTACAGTTGTAACATGACTCGACCGCGGTAGGATCACGCACCCACATAATACCTGCCTGAAACAACATATTAACGATGTTGTGTTTCGTAATGTGAACCGAAGATATTTTTACCTTTAAGTTAATACAAGATAGGGCAAAAACTAATGCTCAAAAGCTAGCAGGGCTAACATGACATCGGAACATCAACCCCATCTGAGACCGCCCCCCGCTCCCCCAGCGTTCAATTTTAAATGAATGAGTTAAAATATAACGCGGTGAAATCCAAAATATTAGTTTAATTTAATAAAATCATATTTAAAATATGCATAAATTCAAAAATCTAAAACGAATAAAAATACATATTATACGAGCTTGGAAAAATTCACGTCATTTGTCAGGCTGTGGATCATTTGTCACGTAACCTTATTTAAAAGCTGAAAAAGAGAATAATGAAAACGCTTGTGATTTCCCGGTTATATCTGAATATCTTGCTTTAATAATCTTAGTAATATTTACGACATTTGTGCATATATGATATAAAATCCCTTTAACCTCTCACTCTTAGCTACCAAGCGGCCGAATTCGGTCGCGGCGATATTCCTTCAAATAGAGATACAATAAGACACAGGCATAACGGTTGGGTTATGCCTGTCCTCACGTATACTATAATATTATTGGCAATGGATTGTAAGTTACTATAATTATGCGCAGCTCTCCTGTTGAAAAAAAAAGTCTTCATACGAGAAAAGATGATAACATGAGCAAGGAATAGAAATATTAAACTACGATAGATTTTGCAGAGCGCTATCTGTGCCATGAATGGCTATTAAAAAGCAATCAAGCGAACATGTTACATTCCATGCGAACATTAAGATGCTAAGTGGCCAAAGAAAATGAACTTTATTTGTATCACATCCTGTTCCGAAATTTAAATGTTCAACTGCACTTGTACAACTACGCAGACTGTATCGTTTGAGATGGAAAGCAAATCCTCCAAAAATTCAACTACCGTAATTACAAGTTTACACCTATTTAGAGTTTAGGTCTTATTAATTATCTCCTAAAGACAACAAAAAAATACTGCTTCTTTCACTTTTTCATCCTTAAAAGGCACTAATAATCGATTAAGTAAATTCATACAACCCCCCATAATTAAAACTTAGGTGGTTTTCGTCATCTTATACGCAAAGGTTCCAGTGGTATGTTTAACGTGCATTCTCGTAGTATTATAAATACGTACAATTATTATACAAAGTTGGATCTGCAAGTACCACGATATATTTTTTGCGTTGGCTAGAAAATATTGAAAAAATAAAAAAGTACATGAAATCAGAAAAAAATCTCTTCTACAAGTGATCCAACGAATGATGTATCGAGGTACGTCTCTCTGCTCTGCAAATTAGTTGTAACAATTAGTCGACTGGCGAATTTCAACCAACCAATTAGTATCGTTGAGCGATTGTGACTATACAGAGATACTCGCCGCTTAGTTAATAAAGTTTATTAAAAGCGCCGACGGTGGTGTTGATTTAATTTATTTTGTTCACAAGCTTTTATTAGATTTTCAGGTTACTTAAAAAATGTGATTTACATATAAACTGTGTTTTTAATGTATATTACGCGACATCTTAGACAAATATGAACGGAATTTATTGATTAATTTTTGTTATTTAGGCTTCTTTTGAATTTTAGAGAAAATTCCACCCCTAAGAATGGAAATAATAGAATATAAAATAAATTTAAATTAATATATATATATATATATATATATATATATATATTATATATATATTATAAATTTTGACGCAATTAAAATTCACAATCCCGATTCCTCAATCCATTTAAAAGTAGGTGAAAGGTAAAAAAATATTAACACGTAAAAGTATACATGAACCAAAAATAATTGAATAATTTCACACTCAAATTGGTTCTAAGACAGTTTACTCGTCTTCAAGCCCCGACTTCAGAATATGAAATGATTGTATTATTTGTAATTCCTTGAAGTCTGCTTTTATTTTAGTTGAAACGATAGAACGTCAATGATCAAACTACTTAGTCATGCGAATAAATGCAAAGACAATAATTGTGATTCATAGTTGCTACTGCAATGCCTAAGGCATTATATGCTTACAAAATTGCGGCTACAACTACAAACCCACCTGCCAAACGAGGCAACGATGCCAAATGTCTCGCCAATATTGAGCAGTGGGCTTTTATAAGCTAATTAGATAATCGATATTGTTACGCGCTTAGGGTTCGTGACACTAAAAACTGCCACCACCAATTACAACTTAAAACACACTAATATTTATTCACACTTAACACTTAGTTCGTAATTATATCTTATATAAGCCTTTTCCACTGAAACATCTAGAATATTCGAGTACATACCGGTCCCAACCGACTAAGTGTAAAAAGTTCTCTCCTAGTTCTGCCGCTCGCTACTAGATGGCGCTAGTGGAAAAGTTCTAGCATGTCATTTTCTAGAAAGCTCTCCTAGTTCTGCCATTCGATACAAGATGGAGCTAGTGACATTTACCAGGCAATAATTATGGCCCCCAACAATATTTTTACAATTTTTGTTGATTTTAATTTTTAGTTTAAATAGCCGAGTTATCATTGAATATCCAATCGTAATAAAATGTTATTTACTTTTCCAACGACTTTGTACAGCTCGTCGAATCGTTTGCGAATATAATATATTTAGATGTTAAATGTTTCATTCAGTTACCCGTAAATAACAAAGAATAGTCGTTAGAAATATCTTCACTGTTAACCAATTGTCAACACATCGGGAAATTTATTACTAGCACAGCAATCAGGCTTTAATGGTCCTTTGCCAATTGCATTGCAATAATTTATAGCCTCACTAAGGCTATAAATACTTATTCCAAATCTTAACACAATATTCGTTGAAAAGTAATAGTAGTAAACTATTTACAGTAATATTTATATACTAGTAAACACGCCGGGCTTCAACGATTGAAATTTAATCAAATTTATGAAGCAATTTTTTTAAAATATTTCGAACAAAAATTAAGTAGCAACAAAATATATTCGGTATGAGAGAGATAAGTATGGTTCTCCATTTTCCAGTGTGCATATAATTGCACATTTTTCTTCAGTGGTACGTCTTCTATTATAAAAGGATAAAAATATATATTTAATATAATATACTTAAAAAAATATTGATATTTCCAAAGATCATTTCAAAGGTGTATTTATAGACCGTTTTTCATATTTGTGGCGTGATTGTCCCACCGTGATTATGCACTGACGCGATTTTCACAAAAAAAAAAAAATTTTAAACACTGTTTTCTGTCAATGTATCAAAAAACGTTTGCATAGTCAAAGAACATGTTGTAGTGAAATATGTTTGAAAGTTTATTGTACATTACATATTTTAACTATAATAAATCTTAACTACAGAAACAAAACTAACGCGAGTAACCCGGGTTCGATCCCCGCCGGCACCAATGAAATTGTTAATTGCAATTTTAAGTGCTGATTTACCACGTGCTCGGCGGTGAAGGAAAACATCGTGAGGAAACCTGCATGTCTGAGGAATAAGAAAAAAAATATTTCGAAGACATGTGAAGTTCGTCAACACGCATTTGGGCAGCGCGGCGGACACTTCCTTGCCCTAAACCCTCTCAGAAATGAGGGGAGGCCTGAGCCCAGCAGTGGGACGTATATAGGCTGTAACTTTAACAGAAACAAAATGTTTGAAAACAAATTTGTAGAAATATTGTCATGTTGAAAGATAAGTTTGAATATATGTTGAAAATTTTACACAGTTTTTGTAAGTGCGAACGCCATCATCAAAAAACATGTGTGATTTGTTTTATGCGTTTTGTTTCATAACATTACGTGTTGGATGTTTCTTAGTGCAAACGTACTGTTAGGACTTACTTATTATCAGATTTCGCGACGCCAAGGACGGCAATATGTTTATCTACCTACATATGTATTTGAGTATATTTGTAGATTTGTGGCGCTCTAGAGACTAAACGCGTTGACCGATTTTAGTGATTCTTACATCAATCGATTTATCTTATTTTTATGACTGTCATTTGTGACATATGATATTCAAAATTCAATATGGCGAAAATCAGACGCCATTTGATTAAAATAAAAAAAATGAAATTCGACGAAATATGTCAAGTGGGGTTTTTTTTTATAGAAGAGGGGGGCAAACAAGCATGCGGCTCACCTGATTTTAAGTGACTACCGCTGCCTATGATCAACCGCAACACCAGGGGAATTGCAGGTGCATTGCCGGCCCTTTAGAAAGGAGTACGCTCTTTTCTTGAAGGTCCCTAGGTCGTATCGGTCCGGAAAAATCGCCGGTGGTAAACTATTCCACAGAGAGGTTGTACGCGGAAGAAAACTCCTCTTGAAACGTACAGTGGTGGAGGTGCGTTGCTGTGCGTGCGGTGGCGGGACCTCAACTCTTCTGTGTGAGAACTCTCTTCGGTGGGCGGGTCATTGAGCGGGAAAATCGGCGAGTCCTCGGTGGGGAAGGGTGGTGGGACAGTATTCCATGTGCGGCCAACCTGCGCCTTGTAAAGTTGCAGGCGGTGTGCCGGCATGAAATACTGTCCCGCTCTGCTGAGCACGCCAAGCTTTTTAGAGGCCAATTTGGCCTTCTCTTCCAAGTGACCACGAAACTGCACGTCACTTGATATGTCGACGCCGAGGATTCCAATACTGCCTGAGGCAACAAGGGGAGTGCCTTGAAACTGAGGAGATACGACAAAGAGGTTCTTTTTAGCGGTTAACGCGCAAACTTGTGTCTTCTGCACACAAATAAACGCCCCCAGTCCCTGCGGTCCCGCTATTCCTGCCTACGGTGGCGACTATGGTAACGACGAGGCAGGGGTACTAAGAGTCTCCCGTGGAGGTTTGGTATTTTAACACCCTGAGGACTAACGAGAAGAAACTGGAGCTGGAAGAAAATATAGACAAATGGTGCTGGGATATTATAGGATTTTTTGAGGTTCAAAGAGAGGGGAAGGAGATAGTGATTCTCGAATGTGGCAACTTTTTTATCACTGGGAGAGTAACCATCTGTCCCAAGGAGGTGTGGGATTTATCATCCACAAACCTATCTTTAACAAAGATTGGGAGTGTGTCGACTTGGCTTACGTACCCTATAGTCAGAATCATCAAAAGGTAATTGCTGAAGGTCATATAGGCGTACACAATAACCTCGGCATATCCCGATGAAAAGGTGGAGTAAATGTATGAGGATATCTCTAGACCTCCAAAACACACTTTTGTTATTAGGAGACTTCAACGCAAGAAGCAGCCACACAGGAAGTTTACCTAGTCAAATCCCGGTGGTTCGACAAAAAATGAGATTGACTTCATTAAAAGGACCAGACGACAACTATTCTGTAATGTTTCAGTGATCGGTATATGATAGGGTGAAAAATGGCGATTACCGAATGGTGAGAGGCAAAATGAACCTAAACTTGAAGTTAGAGAGGCCTCGTCTAATAAAGTCAACACTCTGTCCTTCTCGTGCTCTAATTCAAGGCCCCGAAAATTTTCAGCTTGAGTTACAAAATCGATTTCAGTGCCTAAAAACTGCAATGCAGTAAACGATATAAACGACAAGCTTGTAGAAACTGCCCATGCTGTTGGAGCTAAGTTTGTAAGACCCGTCGCGGAAGATCACAAAAATTCTCCGATTGCACTCTTAATGACTGTTAGACGACAGATGAAGCTGCAGTCGTCAGCAGATTTTGACAACATACAGGCAACTGAATAGACTGATCTCTAAATACATGATTCGGGACTTATGCAACTTTGGCTCGTATTGAAGAAGCAATTAAGCGCAACCTGTCGAAGCTGAAGACCGAATGTAGCAGCATCGTTGACTGAGAGGGGAGTTTGGATTGCAGTAGTTTAAGATGATTTCGGATGGGAGATTTTAAAACCGGGCAAGGATGGAATTGGGGGTTGAAACCGGGTGAAAAACCAACATTTAAAGTTCATCAGAGGCCCTTCAATTCCGTCATCTATGGCGGCACTACTCCAGAAGCGTGGAGCGGAAGTGTGGTGTTCTTGTTCTTCAAGGAAGGCGACAACGCTCTCTTGAAGAACTACAGACCGACTTCTCTTCTAAGCCGCGTGTACGTCTCGATCGCAGACTAGACCACTTCCAGCCTCTCGAACAGGCCGGCTTCCGAAAGGGCTTTAGTACCATGGACAACATACATATCTTTTAACTAGTACAATCTGCCACTTTGTTTTGCGTATGGGGCTTATTAAAAATCCTTTGGCTTCAACAAGCCCTTATCAAGTGGACTGTATACTCGCTTGTCACCATATATAAAAATAACAATAATCTTTTGAGGAAAATAACATAGCATAAACTGTCATGCTTGCCACACATAGAGGTAGGTAGAGAGTACGGACTTCAATTTGGCAGAATACTGACACACCTGTCTTGCTTTTACATATCCGTATATCAACGTATACATGCCCATCGGATAATAGTACTCTGATCTTAGTCATTCTTCAACATATCGCCAATTCTGTCGATAAACTTCTGACTTTGTTATGTCACTCTCTCCGCACTTATACTTTCTACATGTCTAAACCATCGAAGCATTCATCACTCTTTTCTTAATCTTAATAAAACATCTTTTTCAAACCACACTCTTCTCTTCTAACAGAATTTTTCACCTTACCTATACTCAATTTATCTTGAAATTCTTACGTAATTATTACGACAGTCGTACCAGAATTGCGTATGCTACGGATTAATAACATCGTAACAAATGTTTATACGTTGCTCTCCAACGTCGGCAATAACGATAAATTAAAATATAAAAGTTAGAAAAGCGTTACAATGCGAGAAGTGTGTTTCCGTGACTGTTTATTATGCACCTAGAAGAAAATTTAGCATTAGTATATATAGTTTTATCATTTATTTAAATTTAAAGGCATTAATTTAAAAAAAAAGTTTACAAAAAATATTGTCAATCAATTATAATGAACAAACAATGAAGCCGATTATCGTAGTTAGTGATTTAGAAAGTACAGTAAAGAGAACATTATTCTAACATTCGATAAACGTACATCGTGCAAGCTAGTCATACAACATAACATTTCGAAAGCCATTATATAGTGAGTAGTGACGGCTAATATAATCAAAAGTGACTCATTCGATTACCAACAATGGGTATTTATGATAATAATGCATTTATCACC